AAAAAAATGGCGTGTTAGGTTTAAAGAGATTTTTGATAATTTCATTATAACGTACCAAAAATTCTTTAACAAAAATCTAATCAAGTACTAATCCAATAATATAACAATTAGAGGCGGCACCTAAAACCTTATTAAGGCAAATATAATATAGTAATTGTACTTTGTACAGTTATCAAGACTAGGCTCATGTATAGGTTTCCAAACAACATTGTGAAAGGGCGGGGTTGAAATTTCTCGAGAAAATAGACAAATCAATGACTTTACTGCTCATCATCTATAATATGAGTGGATCTGCTTGTTCTTTCATTGCTCAGCCATTTATCTTCTGTTCATTCTGATCTTGAGATAAGACAAACAATTAAAGGAAAATTTAACAAAATTGAAGAGCATTAAAACAGAATATGAACCAAAATTTTGGAAATTTCTTTTAGATTACAGACAATTTACAAGCAACTGATATGAATAGCTTTTGTTTAGTTTCTAGAATCACAACCTCTGAGATCATCATAGATCATAAAAGAAATCACAGACGTTGATACAGAACAACGAGAAATCAAGAACTAAAACTCCAGAAACAAACGAATCGGAGGCAGAAAACGGACGGCTAAGATTTATTCTACAGCGATCCTCGTGATCAAAATCCTATTGAGCAGAGGAATCGGCGATGGCAGATCAAGAGCGAGGAATCGGAACAGAGGCCTGGTGAAGGAGCTGCTGGGCGCGGGCGAGCTGGTCCATGAGAGAGACGATGCGAGCGTGGTAGGAACGCGCCTGATCGACGGCCTCGGCCTCGAGCTCGCCGAGCTGCGAGCAGAGGCGTTCCTCGGCCTCCTCGGCGACTCTGAGCCTGTCCCAGGTTCTAAAGAGCTCCGATTTCATCTGCTCCTCTCTCTCCTGGCTCTCTCTCAGCTCCCTCTCCAGCTCCTCGTTCCTCTTCTTCAGAGCTTCTCCTCCGGCGACGGCGACGGCGACCTTTTGCTGCTTCGTGACAGCCATTGTTGAGAGCTTCGATAATTGTGGGAGATTTTACTCGGAAGAAGAGAGATATAACTGGAATGTTTGTGTTGCGTTTGGTTTGGAGAACTCAAACGGTTTATATAGCGGCAAAAAGCTATGTGTCCAGGTTCAATGTATCTGTAGTGCCCTTGCGATTTCGCTTCGCTGACGTATTGGCTTGTGTTTTTTTTGTTCTCTGATATTTGCGCTTCTGTTATTAACTTATTAAACTAGAATATTCCCTCTCTGTAAGTGTTTCGGTTGGCAAATATTAATTTTATACTTACAAATTCACAGTTCCCCTGAAAAAAAATATAAATTATTTACAAGACTAGTATTATTAATTTAAGATTCTGTTTATTTAATCGATTCACGTTTTGTTATATAAAAAGTTCTCAAAAACAGTTATATTTAATTTTTTTATTACAATAAAAAATTTTCACATAAAATTATATCTCAATTCGAATTAAAAATTCGAATTAGTGAATTAAACGGACCCTAAATTAAGTGCATGCTTTTTAATTAAAATTGTTGATTAAAAAAAATTGTTGTACGCCTGTCGTAACCTCTTTAGAATCAACAGGTTGTTTGATTACAATCTTTTGGCCCGTTGTTTTTGTTTTTGTTTTTTGTTCTTTTTTGAAATGATTTGGCCTTTTGTTTTAGGCATGAGAAGAAAATGTAATAGCTTTTCACCAAATTTGTTAGAAAAATTTTCTAAGGAAATAGTAGAAAATAGGCTAATATGAACAACTTAAGAAAGTATATGAGTCAATTTTTAGTTATAAAAATTAATATGTCATAATTTGTCAAGTTATGGTTCATAACCAGATAAATTATGGACAAACTTGTCAAGTTTTGGTTAATAATCATACAAGTTATGGACAATTATGGACAATAACTTGTTAAGTTATGGTTCATAACCAGACAAGTTATGGATGAAAACAATAATTTGGCCTATTTATTAACTTATGTAAACTATTGGCCTATTAATTTTAATTCATCTTAAGTCTTGGCCTATTTTTCTCTTTCTCTTAATTTTCTAATACACCTGATGTATCAACAGGTCAATTTTTTTTAACCGTTAAACCTGCATATTTTTTAATTTTTACTTAATTTTATACAAATTTAATGATTAAAAAACCTAACCTACTGTGTGTTAGCGTTTAAG